TGATTTTATGTGAGCCGCCCTGAGTCCCCTCAGGGAAAAGGGCGGCCTACAAATTTCAATAAAATCAAAAATCAAATCAAATCTTTATTCTGGCTTAGGATGGGAGAGAAACTTACCAAGGCAGCTCTCTGGATATAACCAAGAGAAGGAAGAGAGATACCTCCAAATTACAGATTTGTAAATGTTAGTGTAGATACTAAGAAGAAACAATCAATGGATCATGGATGAAATAAAGATCCCTTGATGTGATGATTAATGAGCAGAAACTCACATACTTTGAACTTGAAATGACAGCAAGACAGTGGTGGGTTCCTACCTGTTCAGACTGGTTCAGCCGAACTGGTAGTAGTTTGGCGGCCTGGGTCGCTGGAACCGTCAGTGACCCAGGCCTGCTACGCCCCTGAATCAGCAGTAATACTGGCAGCAACCCACCCTGGAGCAAGGACAGAGTGTAAAAACAACTGAGAGAAGGAAAAGGAAAAGACAATAGTGGATAGGTGGGAGTCTTCAGGTGTCAAGTCTCTCCCCATGAAAAACTAACTTAGAATTAATAAGTCATGAGACATTACTCATTAACTATGAGGAACTGAAGGATCCTTCTTTCCAGATACACTTGTAATCACTATTTGGTCATCCCATAGCCATCTTTGCAGAGACACTCCTGATATCCATCAGCATATAATATATGAACGGCAAAGTCCTTGAACAAATTTAGGCTCTATTTCTGCTCTTGTACCTCAAGAGGCTGTCATCGTCCAAGCAGCACCTGTGTGTCTGCAACAACTGAAAATAAAAAAAGTTCAAACTTTATTTACCTAGATCTCATTCCACTGATAGAACAATTAAACATTGACAGCTGGATAGACAGACCCACAATGACATCCACACGGACATGACATTTGAGCAATAATGCAAAGCCGAACAGCGGCACGACTCCATATTTTGTTACAGGTACCCAAGCAGTTCCTGCTCCTCAGGTCTGCTTCTGCTGAGAGGCATCAGATGGACGGGCAGAAGAGGAGTTCTGAAGAGCACAGCAGAATGGGACAGATTCAGAGGCAGGAAAAACAATTCAGAAATCTCCATTTCTTTCACTCTCTCAAACACCTGAAAAAGTGAATCTATCTGTCTATCTATCTATCATCTATCTATCTATCTATCTATCTATCTATCTATCTATCTATCTATCTATCTATCTATCTATCTATCTATCTATCTATCTATCTGGTTCTGTGTGTGTGTGTGTGTTTGTGTTTGTGTGTGTGTGTTGTGTTTTCCAGCATAACTCTGGAATGCCTCAAGCAATTTCAACCAAACTTGGTACAGAGATGACTTACTCTTTGGGAAAAAAAATACTGTGGGGGTAAGACACCCCTAACACCCCTCGGGGTGTGTGTTCTGTTAAGATACAAAATGTTGTGGCTTAAAATGGTTTCTACTGTACAGTGCAGTGGAGTTGCTATGGTAACGGCTTCACAGTACTCCACAAGAGGGGTCCCTCTGGTAAGGAGGAAAATCCAACATTAGAAATTACATTTGGTCCGGATATTTCCCCCATATAAATAAGTACCCAGGCAATGTCAGGTTGTCAACCAGTATTTTGAATAAAAACTTAAGTGATAGTAAAACATGTCAATTGCTAAGGTACCTTGATTTATGATAATCTCAAACACGTTTTCTTGAAGTGAGAATTTGTATATCACAGAAGGAGAGTGAAGATCATCTATAAACGTGTTTAGGTGGATTGTTATATTATATCCTTCCCTGGGTATTACCACCCACAACTCTACTGAGTGGGAAGAATCTCTGAAGGGAGAGAGAAGAAGACAGGTCTCCTGTACTATCTCAAAAATTTGCTCATCTAGATTCTTCTATCCTCTCCATAAGACCATTATAGTTGCCTTCTTATGGAAAGGATCCTGCAAGTCTGCTTGTGTGTTTATTTTATTTATTTTTAATATGTATTTTTACTTCTAAAAGTTTAAAAAAAATAATGTATTCATTATTTCTGTTTGTTCTGCTTTTTGTTATGTAGGCTTCACAAATGTCTACTAGCATGGAAACATGAAATATAACTCTCCTACCACTTATCAGATTCCGCCTCCCATGTTCTTTCTCTGCTTTTTGAATCTACAAAGCTGTCTTCTTAAGGACTATCCCAAATACTGATAAATTGCTCATCTAAATGCTGAAAATAAAATTGAAACATATGCCTTTTTATCAGAATCATATGCCAATTATAGAATAGATGCCTCAGAATTCTAGAAGAGGCAAAGAAGTTAACCTTGGTACATGACTTACATCAGATTGGAGATGAGCAGATTCTAATTATTTGATGACTGACATACCTTGGACTCATCTCCATCCATCTCATTGGGTAATGACTTCTGTGGAGTATGGAAGGCCTGTAATGAGAATCAACCCTGAGTTGAATCAAGTAATATTGACTGACACTACTTGAATAAGTGCAAGACCTTCCCATCCAACCATACAGGATAACTGGAATGGGTTCTCCTTTGCCTGCCAGCCCCAGCCTGGTGTTCACCAAAAGGCCTGGGATTGCAACTAGGCCATGTTTTGGGATTGCAACTAGGCCATGTTTTGGATGCTATTGAGGGAAAAGTTGCAGAAGTTTCTATTGAAGTTTTGTTGTGAAAATACATTCTGGATTGCATTTTTGAACATCCAATTGACATGATCCTATATTGTAAACTTTTCTGAGATGTATGTAATTGTATGGAAAGAAACATGTAAATAAGGGGTTTGCAAACTTTAAAACTCAACATTGCTGGCTGAGGAATTCTGGGAGCTGAAGTCCATAAGTCTTAACGTTGCCTGTTTTAAATGAATAAATTTATAAATAAGCAAGGATAAGCATATTCATCATTCTACTGATACTTTTAACTGGACAGGCATGGATGTTAAAATACTCTGAATTTCGTTGACAAACCAGATGCTTGTGGACATCAATGTGCTCATAGGCTCCTCCTTAGCAGCAGCTATCTACCCCACCTGACTTAATATTTCAAATGATTTTTTTACCTGGATAAGGAAGCAAAAGGAGGCAAGCAAAACTGCAAAGCAAAGCATTATTTTCAAGCACTGTATTTATTTCTGTATGTGTCTCTTGACCCCCATGTAAGACCCACAAGCAAATGGTGAGCAATTGCAACTCATTTTGAGGTTTGAGACTGTGATTCTACCTGTGTGGAAAGAACACAGTGGTAAGATGGCTTTGTGAAAAGCAGACCAGATAGCTAGGAGATTTGATGGCTGGCCTTTTACGAAATAGATGGGTTGTTTTCACTGGCTTAGCCCACTGTGGCAGCCATTTTATAATGGGATAATTCTTCCCCTGGCACCCATTTGTGAAAATGGCTCTAAAATTTCCAAAGGTTCCCACCGGCACAAAAGTCTTAAGGTATCAAACTAAATGCAAAGGTTGGATCCTTTCCATTCTCTGATTCTTCCTCATCCCCAAAGAAGAAAGGTTTGGGTTTCTGATAACAGCTCTATTCAGGTAACAGAGACTTCAGCCTCTGATGTCAGTGGCCACAGGGATTTCTGACTCCCTCTTGGCTCTGAAGTTCTCCAATCACCTCACAGAACAGCACTGCAAAAACAAAGGGGTAGCCTTAGGGGCTGACCACCCAAACAGAGCCTAGTCACCCAGGATCAAAAGATAATGCATTCAGGATTACCGAAGGAGAGGAAAATGGACCATTAAGTACAGGGTGCAAGAACACCAATCCAGCAGCCTCCATTAACCTAGTTGCTGGTCTTGTTAATGGGCATCATCGTCACCAACTGAATCAGAGGACTGTGCATCCCTTGAACTCAGGCCTCACCTGATGTTCTGCTTCTTCTTGGTTTATTAGCTCCCCCAGTGAAACATGCCTGCTTCCAGACAGCCAACACACTACCTATGACACTCACCAGGCATGGTGGTATCTTGGCCTAGGTGGACCTTGGCTGGTATAGTTACCTTCTTGGCAGGCTGCATCTCCTCTGTGGATTTGGACCGAGCTTTCACTCCCTCCTTCTGAGGGGAGCTGGGCTGCTCCTGAAGCACATCCAAGGCGGGCGGGGGAGGGAAATGTGCTGTATTATTATGTCATTCTCTTGCACTGAAATCTTTATAATACCTCATTTGATACAGCACTTCTGAAAAGGTTGAGGAGATCATCATGGAATCTCTCTCATGAAGCCACTTCGATACAGGCTGTCTCTGCATCACGGCACAGGAATCATATTATAAAGGGTTATATCTACCCTGTTTAATTAATGGCCTAGAAAATGAGAGAGATTCAGAACCGTGCCCACATAATTGCAGGGTTCAGATGGATACCATAGTAACATAAAATCCCACCAGATGGAGTCATCTCCTAAGCCACGTGGAGGAGTGAAAAGCATTGATAGCATTGGCTTCCCTGCATTGGCATTTCTCATAAAAGCTTGCGTTAGCATGTTCTCTCTTGAACTGCTATATAAGACAATAATGTGCTGTAATGTAGCTCCTGACAAGCAGCCCTCTAGCTCAGTGTGAATGACAGCAGCATTTAGGTGCACGCAATATCTAAGATGACTTAACCAAACACAACATTAGAGAGAACTCTGAAGCAAAACTCTCAGCTTGCACAATATTTAACTGATGGACACCATGTCCAAGCTGTGAACTGAGTCCTAGCACCCTGATCACTATATAAACAAAATTTGGATATGACCAAAAATTCACATTTCAGAGGTATCTGAGGAAGGCTGTGGATGGAAACAATTGTATCATCTAGTTAGTAGATAGGAAGTGAAGGCTGAAGAACTGTGGATGGCTTGACAGAAAGTCCAACAAATAGAACTAAACACTCCATTACTCCTTGTCAACATACTTGCTCCTATACTTAGCTGATAAAAATTCAGCTATGTGAGTCCTATGCCATCCATCTGTAGTTTCCCAGTTTCCTGTAACTCCAATAAATTAACCCCATTTCTATTTGATATATGAAGTTTTAGCTCAAGTAGTTTCAACACAAAAGAGGCTCCTTGTCCTAATTATTTTTCATTATTTATTCTAATTTATTAATTAAATGTAGATACTAGAAGGTTAGTATCCTGTGGTGCAGAACATCCCCCCCCCCAAAAAAAACCCACCTCTGGATTATTATAATTTTGAAGATGACTGTAGGGCAGGGTTGGGTTCCTGCCAGTTCTAACCTCTTCTATAGAAGAGGTTCCATAAATCTACAGTGCTGTTTAGAACCGGCTCCAACTCCCTCCCCCCACCTGTCCGCACATCATCAAGATGAAGAGAGAGAGGAGGAATTCTGGGAGTTGAAGTCCACAAGTCTTAAAGCTGTCAAGTTTGAACACCCCTGGTGTTTTTTTTCTAAAGGGTTAGGGGTGCAAGGGTTAGGGTTAGGGTTAGGGTTAGGGTTAGGGTTAGGGTTAGGGTTAGGG